TGCATTTCGTGGATGACATGGGTACTGCCTCCTCTGTCAATGTGGATGGTGTAGTCGCAGGAGGGACGTGAATTGTCTCATGGACCTCCTCCATGCCAGTGTCCCACCCAAGAGGTCTGAGTAGAATGACAGGGCCATCTCTTCGAAGGAGTATGTTAGCTGACCTCTGGTGGCCTCCAGGACTGCCTTTTTGTCTTTTGCGTTCTGGAACCGGATCACTAGGTCCCCGGGATCAGTGGGTGGAGCGTTGGCAGGATTGTGGTATGTGGAAGATTCCATTCAGTATAATCGCTTTGGCTGCCTTAGGAGTCAACAGCTCGGTAAGGAGCCGCCTGGTAAAGTGTGGGAGCTCAGCCTCTGGGACAGAGTCAGCGACTTCTCTGATTTTCAAAATGTTTCTGCTGTGTTTTTCCTCTTGTGAGGCGAATTGCTGCTCATGAAGCAGAGTTTGTCGCCACAGGTCTCGGACTGCAACCTGAAGCTCCGCTATCTGACTTGCGTGGTTATTGGAGGTGCCCTCCATTGCCCCAAGCCTAGCTGTTATGCTTTTGAGGTCATCTCTGAGCAAGGCCACATCGGTCGAGATCTTCCTGCGGTGGTCCGCCATGAGCTCACCGATGGCCTCCATTGTCACCGGTGTGAAAGTTTTCGCGGGCGGCTGTGCCGGCGGTGGCAGCGTTGGGGCCGGTGAGATGTCCCATCCGAAAAGTCTGAGCAGCCTCTGTGAAGGGACGCCATCTTGGCTCCGGAGGCCTCGTGTGCCTGCCGCCATAGGTCCCTGATATCCATGCTCTGCCGGGGTTTATCCGGCTTTGCCTTCTTAGTTTTCCGACCCATGGGGTCCGGGTGAGTCTTGGGGTCGCCTTGGATTTGGTTTGTGTCTCAGCGTCGGTGGTAGTAGATTGTTGGGTTAATAATCAGGAGCTCCGCAGCCATGCTTCAACAGCTAAGCTCCGCCTCCCTCGATAGATGTCATTTAAAAAAAAAATCTGTGTCAAAATTAAACCATTAAAGTGATAGTGCTTTGGTGTATATACTCACAATGCATATCATATCTGCTATATGAAAATTATAATTAAAATGACATTACTATCGAAAACCTCCATATATATATACACACACACACACACACACCTGTGGTCACCTCTGGTTGCCCGAACCATATTTCATTTTCCCGAACAATACTGTATTCCCTTAGTTCGGGAACCGAACAAAACTTGTGTGGTCCCCCTTGTTATTGATTAGGACACTGAACACCTCTGGCTGTTAACCACAATTAAAGGATTAACTCAAGTGCTTTCTCTGGGTGGCCGCCGTTCGTATAAACGGACGCACATGGTCCAGGGCATTTTGTCTCCCAAACACAGGCAGCGGTACTTGCTTGGTTAGAATGGTACTGCTGCCTGTATACTTTCCCGACCAACTAGACGAACTACGTCCGGGAGATAGGATTTACCGACTCATTTATCTCTTAGACCCATAGACTCTTGGGAAAAATCCCTGTAAAATTGGTTTAGCGACCACATACTATGGGGCTGTGCATAAAATGTCATTTGGGGGCTAATAAAAATCAGTTGACTCCCAGAACGGTGTCGTCAAGTTACTGGGGGAATAGGCTATATTCACTAAACAGTGCTCTCTTCCAGCTCCAGAGGATTACAGCGGAGATAGTTGGTCTCAGCATTGAAGCTCCGCTACAACCTCCAAATGGGACCTCTGAAGCAGTGGGGGGCCTGGGCGGGGTGCTTAACACCAAAGAGAATCTGGTCTGATTCCTTAATCTGTATTATGTATGAATTTCGTTCACTACAGCAGCACCATTCCTGCCACATGCATGTTTCGGGTGTGCCCCCCCCCATTCCTTTTTTGTCTTTTCTATGAAAGTTTGGAATACAGACCAGATTCCCTTTGGGGGAAGTATAGTGAGAGCATTATATAGCAGTAAAGGGGGCAGTATAGCAAGCATTATATAGCAGTAAAGGGGGCAGTATAGCATGCATTATATAGCAGTAAAGGGGGCAGTATAGTGACCATTATATAGCAGTAAAGGGGGCAGTATAGCAAGCATTATATAGCAGTAAAGGGGGCAGTATAGCGAGCATTATATAGCAGTAAAGGGGGCAGTATAGCGAGCATTATATAGCAGTAAAGGGGGCAGTATAGTGAGCATTATATAACAGTAAAGGGGGCAGTATAGCGAGCATTATATAGCAGTAAAGGGGGCATTATAGCGAGCATTATATAATAGTAAAGGGGGCAGTATAGCGAGCATTATATAGCAGTAAAGAGGGCAATATAGCGAGCATTATATAACAGTAAAGAGGGCAGTATAGCAAGCATTATATAATAGTAAAGGGGGCATTATAGTGAGCATTATATAACAGTAAAGGGGGCAGTATAGCAAGCATTATATAATAGTAAAGGGGGCATTATAGTGAGCATTATATAGCAGTAAAGGGGGCAGTATAGCAAGCATTATATAATAGTAAAGGGGGCATTATAGTGAGCATTATATAGCAGTAAAGGGGGCAGTATAGCAAGCATTATATAATAGTAAAGGGGGCATTATAGTGAGCATTATATAACAGTAAAGGGGGCAGTATAGCAAGCATTATATAATAGTAAAGGGGGCATTATAGTGAGCATTATATAACAGTAAAGGGGGCAGTATAGCAAGCATTATATAATAGTAAAGGGGGCATTATAGTGAGCATTATATAGCAGTAAAGGGGGCAGTATAGCAAGCATTATATAATAGTAAAGCATTATAGTGAGCATTATATAGCAGTAAAGGGGCAGTATAGCGAGCATTATATAGCAGTAAAGGGGTCAGTATATTGAGTGGTCTGTAATGGTACACACTGAATGAGGGTGAGAGTGGAGGATAGGGCTGCATATCTACTTAACCCCTCACCCGCTTACCAAGAGTAAAGGGCATAGGGGGACGTTTTCCTAAAAGGGCTATTATGGCAAAATTACTATTTGCACTATCCTACAGCCTAGAGCAGGGGTTCCCAACCTAGTTCTTACGTACTCCCCAACAGTCCAGGATTTAGGGATTAACCTGTTGTGTCTAAAGTGTTTATTTTTCTAAAACAGCTTAGACACAACTGGGTAATCCCTAAATCATTGACTGTTAGGGGGTTCTTGAGGACTGGGTTGGGAACCACTGGCCTAGAAAAAGATATTCTATATTGGTCTGCAGTTAATAATGCCGACTCATCCTACTACTCCAAGTCCACACCACTCTGGGGCAAAATAATCAGCCAATTTTGCCTCATTATTCCTTCAATATATATGCAAGGTTTCGGCCACACTGAATCGCTGTCAACACTTTTAATGCCATCAAAATTACGCACATTCCTATAAGCAGTGGTTATGACCTGCTTTAAAGGGACACTATAGTCACCACAACCATTACAGCTTAATGTAGTTGTTATGGTGGCTGTAGCCTGTCGCTGCAAGGTGTTTTTTTTGAGAAAGGGCAGTGTTTTCATTAGTGCCTAGGAATACCTTAATTGGCAGTCACAGAGACGCTGAATGTTCCCCATAGAGATGCATTTATTCAGTGCATCTTTATAAGGAGATGCATGCGCTATAGTCGCCCAGTGGAGGTGGACCAGGGGCAGTTGCAACATAACCTGCACAGCGAATAAGATGAATTTAGAAATTCTAGAGCACGTCTATAGAACAAAATAGTTAGGAACGCAAACTTTACACAATCCAAATTGAAAAGAATTGGCCACCAGACTTTACAAAGATCAAAATTAGTTAAAAAGTTACTCCAACATCCATCACCACTTCGGCTTTTTAAAGTGGTCATGGGGAAACTAATCTGGATGTGCAATGTTTCTGCTTTCAAGTGAGGTCCATAGACTGTGTGCATGACTCACACGGACAGTCTCTCAGATGTGTTTGAATCAGCCCTGCCAGTCACCAACAGCATGCATTTTTAATCAATTATTCTCTCCTCCTTCCCTCTAACAGTACCAGCCTTTATATTCTCCCTCCCTTCGTCAGCCCATTCGTTAGCTCGCCGCTCGTCCCTCGTCCCTTCTCTTCCTCTGAAAGAAGCTCAAATTTGCGCATGTGCCCATTAGTGCTTCTCTATTTGGAAAAACACCGAACATACAAAGGTGTAATGGACTGCTCCACAGAATAATCTGCACATAGGCAACATCACATCTAGGGCTACGGAAATGGAATACAAAAGATATTACAGACACCGACATGAAGACTCTTCCAATAAGTCATGGTTTGGAAGCAAGTACTGTCAATTTTCATTATGTCCATGGGTCAGTAGATAGTACGACATACCGTCATTTACTATTCTGCAGATACTGCCAGCATGTAAGATCCCTGATCCGCTACTCTGTCTCTGTCCATATACTTTCTGCAATCCATGTACTATATTCCATGGCTGCATGCAATTTGCTGGACACAGTACACATATTATGTATGGGTGTGCTACTTTCAGCAAGTCTGTTTTATGAGCGCGTGTGCTGTATTCGCAAGGTTTGTCTGTAATGAAGAATAGGCACCAGGAATCCTGAGCGCAGATCCTTAATATGACACAGTATCTTTGTACATTTTATACATCCTGATACTATTTGGGCGTTTCATAGGTGAACCACTGCAGACAAAAACTTTACAATCACGCAATGATTGCAGTATTGAAGTCACAGGGGCATTTAGGACCAGGGAATTGGGTTATAATTCTAAGAGACAGAGTAGTTGTGGTTAAAGAAACTTTTTTTGTTATTTAAAATAAAAATAAGAAATCAGAAAAGAAATTGCACAACCCCCCCCCCCCCGCCCCCAACGTCTCAGAATGTGAGGGGAGCGCATTGCATTTTAACTATTGTTCAAATATGTGAAATATTCAGACAAAGCAGCAGCCAACTGCCAATTCGGTCTATCGCTGCCAAGTGTGTGTGTGTGAGGCTGGCATAATGTTTTCCGTCACAGCTATAGTTTGGAACAAACCAAACCTAGAGATATACATATATATATTTATTACAGTCTGTATGAAACAGTACAAATTGAAATAAAAAACAAAACAAAACACAGCCACTATGTTTCATTCATGTCACATTGGCACTGCCAACCACTCCAAATTCTCAGTACAGCTACTGATACCAGTCAAACTACCCGCCACACACACCTGCAATACAGCAGCTCATACGGATGAGACCCCCTCTCTTCACTGCAAGTCACCCCTACAAATCACACAGACCAGACATTCTTACCCACTGCCTGGCGCACTCATTCTATCACTCAGCAACACTCTCCCCCCAAACCGCCAACACACGCACCGCCCCTACTAAACACACATTTCACTACTACAGCACGGTTTGACCCCTGCTTTTTTTGCCATTGTGCGCAACAGTCCAGGTTCATCACTGCCAAGTGCTGCTTTGTTACACCCGAGCAGACCTAAGTCTCCTACCAAGGTACCACACGTGTTTCATGTGACACAATAACTGATGGCAGTGCAAGGAGCAGCTAGTGTGTTATGTGTGTGGTGGTGTAGAAAGCTGATAGGTAGATCACTCTTTGAGGTAAAAGTGCATCTTCTCGTGCACAATTTTGCGGTCTGGGTTCAGTCTCTTCAGGATCTGTGCAAGGACATTCACAGTCTGCTCACTGCTCAAGCCAGTCTTCTTGGTCTGAAACTTCTTCAAGAGGTCTTTAGTTGTCATGGGCTTGCGGGTCAGGTAGCGACGCACGGCCTCTTCTGTCAGCTGGATATCACTGTGTGAGAAATAGACAAATAATATGAATATAAAGAATTGTCTACCTCGCGTTAAATGACAGATGGTATGTAATACTCCTCTCGTACCCGCTGCTTGGAGTGGATTTTCCAGACTGAGGTTGTGGAGTGGATTTCCCAGATGTGTTTTGAGGACCTGGATCCATCTTCAGCCGTTTAGCTGCTGGAGAGTGAGAGACAGCTCCTCGTTTACCTATTAAATTATGCAAAAAAAAAAAAAAGTAACTTTTTGTGTGTGGCTGTTGCCCTTACAGAGTGTTAACATTGTCATCGTACATCTACTTCACAGTGGGTGAAAGTTATAACAGTTTACAGCTCACTAGCGCCATCTGCCTTACACAGTGTGTGAACATTGTAATTTTACACAACTTTTAAGTGGCATCTCCTTAACGTTGTAACTGCTCATCAGCACCATGTCCAAAACTATGAATATTCTAACCACATAAATCTCATCAGCACCATTTACCCCAGGCCTGGCTTAATCTGGGGGAGAGGGGCATATGGCGGCAGGTGGGATACAGTGCACCAATAGGACTGTAAACAAGCAAATGCAATGAATGAATAAACATCTGCATGCCAACTCTCCACGTAATACACTCCATATAACACTACGAACACACACAGTGACAATGCTAATACACCTTACATTCTTGGTGCCGTGTGTTTTTAATTACTCTGGAACACTGTGTGTATTCAGATTTGCCAAAGTTTGGAATTTCGAGAGTAACCTTCACATCAATGTGCGGTGAAGGAATGCCTTCTTTTAATGCCAGCCTGTAGTTAAGTCTTCTTCCAGTGCCCTGGCCAAGATTGGGCCCTGCCTGATCATGTAAACATTCTAACCGTACAAGGCTCCCCAGCACCATCTCCCTTAGTCAATTTCTTGCAGAACTTCATAACTGTACATAGCTCACCAGTGCCATCTTCTAACATTACAACTTAGAAAACCCAACATGCCCTGCACAGAATATGAGCTGCCTAAAGTCACACTAGAATTCTCTCAGTGAGGCATATTAATATTCTAATGTTTCAAAGCCCAACTGTGTCTGTCCTCTACAAATAACTCCCCTTACCCCCCGCTTACCCTGTTCCAGTTTGTTGGCCGCTGCTCTTAACGTGTTTGATGTGTTTCCCGAGTCAGGAGATGGAGTCCCAGGTCGACTGTTGCCACGGGAGCTGTTGTTGGAGCCTCCCTTACGATCTTTCTTTGGAGGGGTCTTCTTTTTCTAAACAGGATTGTGGACACCAAGGCACGATGTTTGTTATATGAAGCGTAGGCAATACAGAACACTGATGAGAATATAAAAGTTTGTGGGGAAATAGGCATATGAAAGATGTATTGAGACATTTTTAGTATCAGGAAGCTGGGCTGCTGGAAGACAGGTCCAGAATTTGGGAATGGCTACCTTGTAGCCCAGCACCCTCTAGTGAGATAAAGCGCAACTGGCGGAATTTTCAGCATGCAGACTAACAATTGTCAGACTGCAATGCAGCGATTAAGGAGATGGGCACATGCCGGCGGTACAACCCTCATCCTCCCACTCTAGATCGCTATGGATCCAAGAACCCAGTAAGCCTGCTAAACCTCATAAAGTGGAGATCACAGCTACATTACAATACAAATTCTACAACCAGCACACCACACACTAAATACAGCCAGCAAACACACACACACACACACACACACACACACACTATGGGGGAGGACAGAGACTCAGACACTAAACTATAAATTTTCACAAATTAAATCCAAAAAGCAAAATGAGCCAGTTAGGACTATAGTCGAATTGGAGAACTTTTCGAGTTGCAGGTCTCAGTTGAGGTGAAGAACGCTGCCAATGTCTAGCTCTAAGCACAATTCCCAATCTTTATAATTTGAAATTAGTTTATGTCAGGACATGTAGATTGTCATGTACTACCACTTTAGTTCGTTGGACCACTATTTTATGTATGTATTTATTTTAATTTGCACACCCCTGGTATATGGATTTCCCATTCCCGTCCTGGTGTCCATCTGTTAGTAACAGCTCATTTACCTGCATGAAAAGTGCAGACGATGCTTCTCCCTCTATATCACTGTCTTCGGATGTGTCCGACTCGTCACTGCTGTCTAAATCCAAGCCAGTATGCAGTAGTTAGACAACAGAGTTCCATTCACAACATATTATTTACTGTAATTTCAAGTACGTTACTGGAGCATTGGGATATGCCATCCTAAACACTAAAAAGAGATTATGGGATTTAATAACTTGTTTCTTACCTCTCTTTTTCTTCTTTTCTTGAGGGGTTGCTGCTTTCTTCTCTTCTTCATCCTCTTCCTCAACCTTCTCCTCCTCGCTTTCCTCACTGGACTCACTCCCCTCATCTATCCCTGTAATAGAACAAGACATGTGTGTCAAGGTCACTCCAGGTCCTTTATCCCATTAATAGTTTCCTACCTACAAAAGTTATTAACTCGATTTTGATTGAAGTCCTGGCATGAATGTCACAGTTTCGTCATGCATTGTACTGGTCAGCGAATCAGGAGCTGTCTGCTTATTACAGGGATATGCAATCTCGGTAACGTCAGTATATAAACTGGTCTTGTTAGTACATTCAGCACATTACCCATTAATAGGTAAGGCTCAGCACTTCCAGACCCCACCTGGAATATGCGATGCAATTTTGGGGACCAGTTTTAAAGAAGGATATAGCAGAACTGGAAATAGTGCAGAGGCAAGCTACAAAATTAAAAAGGGGGATGGAAAACTTATGAAGAAACGCTAGAAAAACTGAATTTGCTCTCTTTAGAAAAAAAAAAAGGCACCCAAGAGGGGATGTGATAGCACTATGCAAATATACACAGGGTCAGTACAAACTGCTATGTGCTAACCTGTTCATTAGCAGCAATATACAATAGGTCACCCAATAAGATTGGAAGAAATCCTAAGAAGAATGTCTTTACTTCAAAACAGTCTAAGCACTCGTTTAAGTAGCACTCTTTTAAGTAGCAAGAAACAGAAGCTTGGGAAACCCTTCCTAAAATATATGTTCTTATAGCACATCTATCTAAAAACACCACTCTACTCATTGGGGAAGCCACTGGATTAAAGGACCCAAAAGATAAGAGCTGCAAAGTCCTGTAGGTACACTTTCCAAGCATCCACCTTTATTAGCAAAGGCGCAATTTCAGGCTCAACTGTTGTCAGAGTGCTAAAGGTATTCAAGCATCCAGGTCTTCAATTGTGTATTAGTTACATTATAAGAGGTTTCTTTTGGCAAGTAACATTAAAGCCCGGCTAACTGCATAGAGCTTGAAAACTCTCTCTATTAGGCCAAGTTGTGTACATACAGAAATAAATAGACATATAGAATACATCATAGAATTTTACCTTTAGGCAATTCCTCCTCCTTGGCGGGTGTGGGTTTCCCAGGAAGTTCCTCATCCGAGCTATAAAATGAAAAATAGATGATGGATTAGTAACCTTCTCTCTATTCCCAGTGTAAAACATACACTATAGACATCAATAGTGAGCGCAATCAGCACTTTAATTTTCTGAAAGTAATTCTTAGCTACAATACAGTACAAATTATTTAAGAACTGTATATAAAAACAGAACACAAAGAAACAAGCACAATTCACACTGTAATTTGTAGCGTACATGCACACTGCAGCCTTTACAAGCTGTAGCTGTCCAATCACAAACTTCACAATATAGCTCAATGAAGCCTTTGCAAGGCAGGTGCTCTGGGCAATTGCTCAAATTGCCTAGCGTTTAACTCAATGGAGCTAAAAAAGTAACACTTGTCTGACTGACAGCCAGGGGGCTGTAACAAGGTTAATTTATAAAAGTTCCAATTTCAATTGAAATCTGCAGTTTTTATAAAATGAAAAGAGGACACATTCTTCCCACGTAACACATCTCAGCAAGATAAAATGCTTTAGGGGTCCAGACTGTCACTTTAAAATTGAAAATTCATTTTAAATTCTCATTTTAGTGAACAACCCTAAAATTTTAATTCTACAAGAGTTATTACCGTCAAACATCAGGCTCAAAAACTGCCTCTATGTTATTACATGAGAGTCGGCATACATCTGGGTTCCATAGAGTTACATTTATTTTCTACAATGTTACTGTGAGTAGCTGTAATAGCCTATAACCAAGTAATATCTTCTGGGTATCATGCAGACCCACCCATCAAATGAAAGCACAGGCAACATTTATCTTGATTCATAAAGATTTAGTATTTTCCCCAAACATCAATGTTCGTTCTACGCACTTTTGATTCTCTAACATTAGCTCTATATAAAGCTTACTCCTTCCAACTCACCTGCTCTCGTCATCAGACATATAGTCCACTTCTTGGCCCTCAAAGTCGCCATCATCGCTGTCCTCTAGAGCCTCAGTATCTGAATGTTTCTTCTTCTTCTTCTTCGTTTGGGCAGAAGACTTTTTCTGTGGCTTTGGCCGGCGTTCACCTTGAATATTGTTCAAAAATCATGCAAAAAAAAAAAAAAGGGTGAATGGGTGTTTCTTCTTTTTCTTTAAAGCAACACTATAGTGTCAGGAATACAAATATGTATTCCTGACACTTTATGTCTAGCTGTTTATGTCCCTGCTGCCCCCCCTTTCTTTTCGTTAAAAAGATTACTCACCTTTTTCTAGCGCCATGTGGGTCCAGTCACGGCAGCTTGTCAACGCTCTGCCCCCTTGACTAAGACCAAACGATGATCTCAGCCAATCCAATGCTTTCCTATGTGAAAGCATTGGAAAGCTATCGCACAAATCCCTGTGTGAACAACTTATTTATCTGAAGACTGTTTACGTTTCTACCAGTATAGAGACAATATGTATGAGCGAGCTAGAGCACTTCAGTAGGGAGCCTTCAAACATGGGCTACCAATAATACCTCACCAGCACCTTCAAACTTTATCTTACACTCATACTCACCATTCTCCACCCCTACCAGTGCCAACATTGTGCACACAAATTCCCACACTTCTAATCTCTCAGAGTGTCCCCTATTTGTATTACTCTCATTCCCACATTTCTACACTCAGTCTTTCCCAGTGCTTCCTCTCTGTAAACACTTGTCACTCTCTTACTGATCGAGTCTCCCTCACTGCTCCCCCTCTGAATCTTACACTCATTCTAACACCCCCCCGTCCCTCCCAGAACTTCAAGGTTGTGTCTTGCACCTTCACTCACCATCTTCCCCACTTTCCTCACTCTCGCTAGAGCTCAGCTCCAGGTCATCCTCTAGGTCATGGATTTTGAGGTCATTTTTTTTCTTCTTTTTCTTGTTCTTTCCTCCCTTTTCCTGCTTGCCTGAACCCTCTTCCTCATCATCGTCTCCTCCTTGGTCTTTCAGACGACGTTGTTGCATAATGGTGAAGTGATTAAGGATCTTATTACGTCTGTAGACAAATATGTTGGCATAGTAAAGAAATCATCTAACACAGAATGTTATGTAAGTGAGGAGAGAGTAACAAGTATAGAGGAAGAATTACTGTACAGTGGTAAGCAATTCCCCATTATCCTTGCTTGTACAATCCTTTGCTCCTTCCCGTCTAGGTCACCCTGTGCTGGGAGGGACAGACTCCATGTCCCATATCTCCCTCCTGTCTGTGTCACCCTGTGCTGGGAGGGACAGACTCCATGTCCCATACCTCCCTCCTGTCTGTGTCACCCTGTGCTGGGAGGGACAGACTCCATGTCCCATAGCTCCCTCCTGTGTGTCACCCTGTGCTGATTCAAAAGAATCAGTATACATTATTTAAAAATATATCACTAAGTTTCATTAAATGTAATGGGAAAAAAAATTAAATTATGAAAGTTAAAATTTAAAGTTATGCTACTGAGCAGGTTTTAAAAATATATTTTTCAGTTAACCAAGGAATATGTTGTTAATGTATTTGTGCTGTCCCCTTATTCTTTGTAACATTAATGTGATGCTCATATCACTAGGCCGTAATAGGAAGAAAGAAGCACAAACTCCTATCGCTTCCTCCTGTCTGGATAGCGGTAACATGATGGGACATTAATCACCTCTCCCATTCTTGCTCGGCCTCCTCGGCAGTGAGAGTTCGATGCTTGGCCACTGGTGTGAAGTTGTACCAGTTGGAAACAGGAAATGCTTCAAAGGCTCCGTCAGGACACTGAGTAAAGATGAAGTAAGAGGCATTCTCGGTCACTCCACCCTTCTTCACTCCTCTGAATCTGCAGATACATAAAAACCATAAACTCACGTCTTTTTAAGATCAGGTTTTGCCTTTGTGTGAGGCACCACTTACTTTCGCCCTGCTTTGCCATTCACTCGCAGAGTCCACGGTTGGTCCTCATTCTTGAACTCCTTCAGAATGATACCATACTTCTTCCTTCGAGCCTCTTCCCTCTGCTTCCGGTTAAATTCACTCCCTGCTCCAGACTCTGGAAGATCTTCATCCTGAAACATCTTCTTGGCACTCAGGTCACGTTCCATGCGAGCCTAGACGGGGTGAAGATGATCTGTTCATAAAATACTATCTACAATGCTCATAGGTAGATTAATACATTTACAATGATTTTCATATAATGCGCCAATAAAAAGGTGAGCAGGTTAAGAATGTTCTATTTACATAATGCAAGCAATACATGTTAGAAAAACAGTCTGAAAGGACATTTGGACAATTGGAGTTTTGTTGGGATGTTTCTATATTCCGTGGAATTTGCCTGCCTTAATTTGAGAGGGTTAGGAATTAGATCATATTTATTTAGCGTGCCATTATTGGGAGACCAAATGGAATTGCTTTGACAAAAAAGGCCAGAGAGTGATCCTGTAGGTTAACATTGGCATTTTCTGAGTCTGCCCTCAACAGTTGGAGCAAACAATTTACTAGACATCATAATAGGTCACTTTCATAAATGACTTAAAGGAACACTTGAGGAATTAGATCTACTTCATTTATTTCAGTGGTTATGATGGCTGTAGGGGCCTAATGCCTTCCCTCAGTTAACTATTAAACCGTTTATTTATGGTTTAATAGTGAACTAGAGCAGAGTAAGTGATGAGAACCGCACCCAGTCCCAACGGCCAAGGGTGCTCCAGAGCAGGACCAGCAATCCCAGTACAATAATCCAAGAGGAAAAAACTCACAGGCACTCCAACTTCAAGCCGCAGGCAGATTTATTATGACAGAATGCAACGCAATGTTTCGACCGGAAAGGTCTTTTTCAAGCTGACACCACATGGTGCAAAATGTGCTTATATAACAAACACTAACAACTAAGAAATCAATCAATTACTGCTAATTAGTAGAAATTCTTAATTGATAAAAAGGTAATTTAAAAAGGCATTGTAAAAGAAACAAATATCAAATGTGAAATATTACAATATATACATAAATCAGATAAATAGTGCACACTATATCATTAACTTCATACACACAAGACATGAATCATTCTATGATCATATTAATGCTAGGAATTCTAAAATGTGTGTGTGTGTGTGTGTGTGTGTGTATATATATATATATATATATATATATATATATATATATATATATATATATATATATATATATATATATATGATAACCTATTATGTCATGAGTATTCCCTGGTTACAAATACTGTGCCCATAGAGGAGAGAAGAAGTACATAGGAAAACAGCAAATAAAAAAAGTAAATACATGCAGCGTATCCTCCATGGTATCCAAACGCGACCCACTTCCGGGTCTGTGAACCGCACGTGACGTCATTGGATTACCCTTTACCATTGCTTAATACTCAGCTCAACCAAGTGAAGGATCAGGATAGAGAGGATTTACTCCACTCCCATAAATCACAACGGAATGACAAGAGGTTAAAATTTGTATCCAAATTTGGGAGATATTCAGATGACTTACGAAAAATTGTATATAGGCATTGGCATATTCTTGCCCAATGTCATCCCAACATTGTGGAATTTTCCCAAAGACCTATGTTTGCCTACAAAAGAGGCACCTCGTTGAAAGATAAATTAGTGAAAACTTTGGTTCCTGAGTCTACTGACACTTTATCTGATGTGAAACAAGGTAATTTTCCTTGTTACAATTGTGTCTCTTGTCATTCGATGATCCGGGGTGATGTGATTCATCACCCGCGGAGTGGTAGAAAGTACTCTATTAAACAATACTTGACTTGTGATTCTGACTTTGTCATCTATGCATTGAAATGCCCATGTGGCCTTCTATATGTGGGGCAAACTAGTCAGAAATTCAAGATGAGATTCTCTAAACATAAGTCCACGATTCGGACTAGATTGACTGATTTGCCCTTACCGGCACACTTTATAGAGGCTAGACATGGGGTCTCTCAGCTCAGATTCCAGATTCTAGAACAAATTATGGAATCTCCTAGGAAGGGAGATAGAAATCGGAGGCTTCTGTTACGTGAGGCATATTGGATACGGGAACTCGATACATTATACCCAAAGGGTTTGAATTATGAATATGATTTGTCTATGCTTATTTAAGGAATGATTGCTTTATTTTATCTTTGTTTTTTAACTCTCCCTTTTTTTATATTTTTCAGGATTTTTTAGATGTTTGGTGCTGGTTTTCTAGACACCCTACTTTTGTCTACTACACGATATGATAAGCTGAATCTTTCAGGGACTTCTAGGATTTCTCAGGGACTACTAGGATGTGGACACATTTACTCTCTATTTAATGCACAATTATATTATTATAAGTACATGAATGCACTGTTAGGACATAAATGCACTTTTAGCAGTAAGGATGGTATTTCCGTCCTGTGGTGTTATACACTGTGATCACATTATTTGACTGGGATCACTTATTCAAAAACTAGTTAATTAACTTTTCACCATTTTTACACTGTGATCATAAGATTACTTAGACTGCTTGGATTTATTACTCATTTTGTTTATGATTTGTGGCACTTGCACTTTATTACTTTTTACTTCTTTAACATAGTTACTTAATTGAAGCACTGACTACTTGAGAGTTCCATATGTGGATATTAGATACTCTCCTTGTTTTTCTCACATAGATTATCGATAGATTCCTTATGCCTATATAGTCTCTGTCCTTATATATATATATAGACTCTTATGTTCCATATGGGAATTCACGGTCCCTTTATTTCCTTTGCTGTCTCCTTTTTTATTTAATCCCTGCTAGGTATAGGTGTTTGACTTTTGAGGTCTGTACCTTTAATCTGGAATGATGTCGACTGTGCCTATATATGAGAGAATATAATTAGACTATATAGTCTTTGTCCTTATATATACAGACTCTCATGTTCCATATGGGAATTCACTGTCCCTGTATTTTTTTCGCTGTCTCCTTTTTTATTTAATCTTTGCCAGGTATAGGTGTTTGACTTTTGAGGTCTGTACCTTTAATATGGAATTGGCTCTTATTTGGTATAATGATTACTCTAAGTATTCATCTCTGGTATTCCTATATGAATAACTATTACTCCTGTTTATTTATATTGACTTATATTGTATATTACATCTAATAGATTTATTTTCCTGATCTGTGCCATATAACATACCTGAATGATTAGGATGTTCTGTGAAGATTTACTTTGGGATAGTGATGTGGCAGAGTGAACATACTCCACTATGTGGGCTGTGCAATGGTGAATTGAACACAGAACGATGTTATGTTTGGTCCTCCAGCCAATCCGTTCGGAGGAAGATTTCGCACGTGCGTTCCAATGACGTCACGTGCGGTTCACAGACCCGGAAGTGGGTCTCGTTTGGATACCATGGAGGATACGCTGCATGTATTTACTTTTTTTATTTGCTGTTTTCTTATGTACTTCTTCTCTCCTCTATGGGCACAGTATTTGTAACCAGGGAATACTCATGACATAATAGGTTATCTCATTCATATATATATATATATATATATATATATATATATATATATATATATATATATATATATATATATATACATATACATACACATATATATATACACATATATATACACACACATACACACATACATACATACATACACACATTTTAGAATTCCTAGCATTAATATGATCATAGAATGATTCATGTCTTGTGTGTATGAAGTTAATGATATAGTGTGCACTATTTATCTGATTTATGTATATATTGTAATATTTCACATTTGATATTTGTTTCTTTTACAATGCCTTTTTAAATTACCTTTTTATCAATTAAGCATTTCTACTAATTAGCAGTAATTGATTGATTGATTTCTTAGTTGTTAGTGTTTGTTATATAAGCACATTTTGCACCATGTGGTGTCAGCTTGAAAAAGACCTTTCCGGTCGAAACGTTGCGTTGCATTCTGTCATAATAAATCTGCCTGCGGCTTGAAGTTGGAGTGCCTGTGAGTTTTTTCCTCTTGGATAATAGTGAACTAGAGTCCCGGGTCTCCAGTAACACCTCTGCACCACTTCTAAACTGGCTAACGCTTCCTTGCCAACTCCAGCGCGGGGAGGGGGGCAGTGATAACATCACATTAACTGTCATTTCAAGTTTGGATATTCTGAAGTTCTGATGCAAGAGAACATTCCATAGAGTCCTGAAGCACTTCAGTTGTATGTGGGCTGTTCCTGACCAGCAAAATCAAATCACCCAAACTGAATGGAACTGATCACTCTTTCACTTATTGAAAAAATAAAATAAAAATCCACCATGACAAATACTAACGGTTCTGGCAAAGGCGAATGGCTGCAGTCTATAGGCAAACAATCTGATACAAACACTAAATGTTATGACTTTGTTCAAGATTATAGCAACTTGTCCAATTTGATTTTTGTCCCATAAAGTAGAAGCACAGAGTGTAAAAAGGGCTAACATTCCAGCACTGCTCCTGGTGCGCGCACACACACACACACACACACACACACAAATAAAACCTCCTGCCAAATATAGTGTAGGTGCCCCCTCATGCTACCAAAACAGCTCTGTTGAAGGATTCTGCAAAACCTATGAACGTGTCCTGTGGTATCTGGCACCAATATATGGATATATGCAGCAGATCCTTTAACCCTTTGCGGTCCTAAACTGAATATATTCAATAAAATATTTTACCTCTTGTGGCCAATGTCTGATTCTCCCTGGAGTGTACCGCTGATCTTCCGTGCTGTGAAGGTGTGCGACGTGCATATGGGGATTAGGGTGGTCCTGGCGGTGGGTTGCACACACATGTTGCGTTGCGTTCCACCAGGAGTGCGAATTGTTCAATTAAAAAAACATAAGACCTGCTGGTGCACTTAGTGGAAATTTATTGGACTGCAAAGAAATCCTTCAAGTTACAAGGTGGGCCCTCTATGGATTGGATTTGTTGATCCAGCACATCCCACATATGCTCAATTGTATTGAAATCTGGGGAATTTGGAGACCAAGGAACCTTGGACTCATGTTCCTCAAACCATTCCTGAACACATTTTTCAGTGTGGCAGAGTGCATTAATCTACCAAGAGTCCACTACCACCAGGGGACACTATTACCATGAAGGGATGTACGTGGTCTGTAACAATCTCTAGATAGGTGGTATGAATGACAGGACCCAAGGTTTCGCAGCCCAACATTGCCCAGAGCATAACACTACCTCTGCGTGACTGCCTTCTTCCCATAGTGCATCCTGCTA